ATACATATATATATATATATAGGTAACGTTCTCATTCTGTGTCCTTTCTCCCCTCCTTTTTAATTTAATTTCCTCTTTTAGATTCTTTTTACCTCCAGTTTCTTTCTCTCTTGATTTATCCTCTTTTCCATCGTTAATTTCTTCGTTTCTTTTAATCAATTTCTTTTTATCTTACCTTCTACCTTCTTCTGTGTTTCGCCCTTTATCAATTTTTCACCATTTCCGGTTCTACTTACCTGTGGAAGAGAGAAAAAATATATTAGTTTTAGACATAAAGCAATGGTGATAAAGATGGTTAACGATGACTGAAAACAAAAGAGATAAGAGAAGACGAGAAAAAGCAATAGAAATAGTGTAAGAAGAGATATAAAATAGTCATAAAAGGAAGAAAAAAAAATTGTAAAGAAAAGTACAAAAAAGAGGAAAGAAAGAAAAAATAGATAGATATGAAAAAGAACGAAATACGAAAAGAAAAATAGGGAATAAAACGGAGAAAGCAATAAAATCACAGGAAACGATATAAAAAAGTCGAAACAAAGCAAAATAAAATGAAATATTTAGCATCCGAAAAAAATATACAAAAAGAACAACGTAATAAAGAAGAAGAGTGCTGAGATCGATAGGCCATCGAAAGATAGAATGAGAAAGAGAGAGAGAGAGAGAGAGAGAGAGAGAGAGAGAGAGAGAGAGAGAGAGAGAGAGAGAGAGAGAGAGAGAGAGAGAGAGAGAGAGAGAGAGAGAGAAAAGTAGAAAGACAAAAAAGGGAGAGAGAGAAAAAGAGAGAGAGAGAGAGAGAGAGAGAGAGAGAGAGAGAGAGAGAGAGAGAGAGAGAGAGAGAGAGAGAGAGAGAGAGAGAGTGAGAGAAGTAGAAAGACAAAAAAGGGAGAGAGAGAGAGAGAAAGAGAGAGAAACGCAGCCATCACGGGAGGCGAGTGTCTGCGAGATCGTCAGGCCAGATTAATATCGTGGACAAATTGCATGGGAGGAGGTTGTTTTCCCTCTTTTACGAGGGGAAGGGAGAGGGGAAAAGGGGAAGGGAGGGGGTGCGGAGAGGGGAAGAGGGTAAAGGAGGGGAAAGAAGGGGAAGGGAGGGGTGCGGAGAGGGGAAGAGGGTAGGGAAGAGGGGAAAGGAGAGGAGAGAAGGGGAAGGGATGGGGTACGGAGAGGGGAAGAGGGGAGGGAAAGGGGAAGAGGGGAGGGGAGAGGGGAAAGGAGAGGAGAGAAGAGGAAGGGAGGGTGTGCGGAGAGGGGAAGAGGGAGGGGAGTGGGGAAAGGAAAGGAGAGAAGGGAGAGGGGGATGGAATGGGAGGGGAGACTGGAGATGAGAGGGGAAGGAAGAGGGGAGGAGAATGGAAAAGGAGGAGAGACGGATAAGGAAGAGGAGAAAAAAGCTAATGGGGAAGAAAGAGGAGGATGAAGGGGGGGAGAGATGAAATGGGGAAGAGAAAGGAAGATAGAGAGTGCAGGAGAGAAGAGATGGAAGAGAGGGGATTAATAAGACAGAGAGGAAGAGATGGAAGGAAGAGAGAGAGGAAAAGAGAAAGGGAAGAAGACGAAAAAAACGATCAAAGAGGTTAAGGAAATTTAACTAAAAAGGGGAGAGGCAAGGCGAGAGAAGTAAGGAAGTGACAGAATGGAAGAAACAGAGGAAGACAGCCATAGCAATAAATCTAAGAAAACAAAATGAAACAAAAACAAAGATACACTTAAACCACACCAACAAACCTAAAGAAAACGAGATCACGAAAACAAAACAAAAACAAAAACAAAAATCAAAACAAAACTGTCAGCAGCAGCCGGAAGAGGAGAAACGACCCCGACAGCCGTGTCATATTGACAGGTAAGACTGACACTGAAATGACAAGTCTGCGGTGACAAAAGCCAGCTCTCCCTAAAGGCTAGGCCCGAGGGGAGACTTAGGTAATCGTTTAATTCAGTGTCGTAACCTCATTCAGGCTTGCAGAGGGGAAAGGAATTGGGGTGGGGAGGGGGAGGGGAGGGGAGGAGAGGAGACGAAAAGGGGAAAGGAATTGGGGTGGGGAGGGGGGGAGGGGAGGGGAGGAGAGGAGAGGAAAAGGGGAGAGGAGAGGAAAAGGGGAGGGGGGGAGGGGAGGGGAGGAGAGGAGAGGAAAAGGGGAAAGGAATTGGGGTGGGGAGGGGGGAGGGGAGGGGAGGGGAGGAGAGGAAAAGGGGAAAGGAGTGGGGGTAGGGGAGGGGGGAGGGGAGGGGAGGAGAGGAGAGGAAAAGGGGAAAGGAATTGGGGTGGGGAGGGGGAGGGGAGGGGAGGAGAGGAGAAGGAGAAGGGAGAGGAGAGGGGAAAAGGAGAGGGGAGAGGGAAAGAGAGAGGAGAGGGGAAAAGGAGAGAGAAGGGAAAAGGGGAGAGGAGAGGGAAATGGGAGAGGAGAGGGAAAGGGGAGAGGAGGGGGATAGGAGAGAGGAGAGAAAAAGGGGAGAGGAGAGGGGAAAAGGGGATGGAAGAAGAGGGGGAGGGGGTAGGGGAGAGGGAGAAAGAGGGAAAGGGAGGAAAGGAAGGGGGAAGGGAGGAGGAGAGGACGGGGAAAGGGGAGAGGAGTGGGATAGGGGAGAGGAGAGGGGAAAAGGGGATGGAAAAAGAGGAGGAGGGGGTAAGGGAGAGGGAGAGAAAGGGAGAGGGAGGAAGGGAAAGAGAAAGGGAGGAGAGGAGAGGGAAGGGGGAGAGGAAGAGAAAGAAGAATAAGGGAAAAGGAGAAGGAGAGGAGGAGAGAGGAAAAACGAGGAAGGGAAAGGTTAAATGACGAAGGGAAAGAGGAAAGAAGGGAGGGAGGAAAGGGGAGAGGGAAGAGGAAGGTAGAAAAGTAGGAATGAGGAGGAAGGGGGGGGGAGGGGGGAATTATGTTAATAAATTGCTAAAGGGATTAAAGAAGAGACATCCATTTCCCTTAGGATAATTTGCATATTTTCGGGGATCAAGGTTTTCGCTACAATTTCCCCGTCGGTCTACGTTCAAAACTTTATTTATGAAAGCTAGAATCTATACATGTCTAAATATAACTTAAAATTTTCTTTCCTTTACCTTTTTTTTTGCGTTGGTTTATTTTATTATTTGTATCTTATTTATTCTACCTGACTGTGTTTGTCTATTCCTATGTTTAATCAACTATCCGTCTCTATATTTACATCATTGTCTGTCTGTCTACCTGTTTGTTTGTTTTTTTAATGTGAACACAAAATATTTATGAACATGATACCCACACACCCACCGACCCACACACGCACACATACACACAAACATCCACACACACACACAAATACATACAAGCACACCCCACACACTAGGAGACCCCCCCCCCCCACATATACACACAAACAATCACTCACACACCCACACAACCCCCTCTCCACTCCCCCACACCCCTACACACACACAGACACTCCCACTCCCACACAAACACACATGCCCCCTCCCCCATCTCCCCACATACAAACACCCCTTTCCCCTACCCTTACCTCATCCCCCCACACACAATCATAAATACCGACCCCCCACACTTACCTCACGCCCCCCCCCCCCACACACACACATACACAATCATAAATACCGACCTCCCCACACTTACCTCATCCCCCCCCCACACACACACACAATCATAAATACCGACCCTCCACCCCTACCCGTTACCTCATTCCCCCCCACACAGTCATAAATGCCGACCTCCCCCCCCCCCCTCCCCAGTTCATTAGCACGTTTTTTCCCCCATCGCCTTTCTTCCAGCATGCAAGTCCGAGCGGCCGCGTACCTCCTACCCTGTTACCGTAACTCAAAACATTATGAGAAGCAGATTCCTTCATGAATATTCTTGCTGTCGTCATCCATCACTTCCAGCTCTTCCTCCAAAGCAACTTCTGAATAAAATTAGGGAGAGAAACAAGAGGAGAAGAGAAGAGGATGGGGGCAGAGAAGAAGAAAAAAACAAGCCATTAATCAATCTTTTACACTGTGAAAGGAATTCTCGGCTAAGAGGGGAAAAAAAAATATGAATGAAAATAAAATGAATAAGGGTTACGCTAAAACCCTCGTGATACAGCTGGTGGGAAAATAGAAGATAAGAATGTCGAGAGCTGAAAGGCACTGCAGGAGGTTTTGCAATGGTGCAAGGTGTTGCAATGAGGCCCTTGGTGTGTGTGTGTGTGTGTCGTGATGTTTTTCCCTATGATGAGTTTTTTTTCTTTTTTTTAAGGGGGGAGGGGGGATGCAGGTTCTCTTTGATATTATTTCTGCATGATCGTCTTTCTGATCTCACCTGGTGTCTCTCTTTGATTCTCTTTCAATCGTGCTTTTTGATATGCCTGTTGGGTTTGTCTCTGTATATCTGTCTGTATGTTTGTTTGTCTGTCTGTTGGGTTTGTCTCTGTATATCTGTCTGTATGTTTGTTTGTCTGTCTGTTTGCTTATCTGTCTGTCCCTATTTATGTCTCTGTCCGTCACTGACTTTCTCCCTCACTCCCTCCCTCTCTCTCTCTCTCTCTCTCTCTCTCTCTCTCTCTCTCTCTCTCTCTCTCTCTCTCTCTCTCTCTCTCTATATATATATATATATATATATATATATATATATATATATATATATATAAGTGTGTGTGTGTGTGTGTGAGTGTGTGTGTTTCTGTGGCTGTGTTTTCAATAGATATTGTTCCGAAATTCGATACCCGTACTCGAAAACTCTACAGTACTAAAAAAGAAGAAGCCATATTTCATACAATACGGATTGTATTCAATTACTGAATTCTTTCCAAAGTGTCGCGTTACAAAGCTACTAGAATTACCGTTACAAGGGAGTGTGGGAAAGATCGATCAGCAGACAACGTTACCTGACTTGCTTACGCGAGATTCAACACAAGGTCAACACAGGTCAGCAACACCTTCCATGCTAAATCCTCGCACCTTTTTAACCCAGTGACCTTACTCTTCCTCGCCATGAACTTCCTTATGATCCCAACTACGGTCGAAGGTCAAATGGGCCGAGATGATCTCTTTCCTTGAGAGGTCAGGAAAGGTCACCGGCAAATCAGGCACTTCTACCCAACCCCAAGAAAGACACCAGACGGTCTTAGTACTTTTGGCCCTTTTACCCTTGCCCAAGAAAGGCACCAAATGGCCCTGGTACTTGTAGCCGTGTCCAAGAAAAGTGCCAAATGGCCCTGGCACTTGTAGCCGTGTCCAAGAAAAGTGCCAAATGGCCCTGGCACTTGTACCCATGTCCAAGAAAGGCACCAAATGGCCGTGGCACTTGTAGCCGTGTCCAAGAAAAGTGCCAAATGGCCCTGGCACTTGTACCCGTGTCCAGGAAAAGCACCAAACTAAGGTTCATTTTTTTGGGTAAGGAGTAAGAAAAGAAATCAAGAAAGGCATAAAGAAGGGAGGGAGTGAGGAAGGAAAAGAGAAAGTAGGGAAGGGGGGAACGAAGAAAGAAGAATGAAGGAAGGAGGAAAAGAGGAATAGAAGAAAGAAGAAGAGAGTAAATGAATGAATGAAGAAAAGAGGGAAGGAGGGAAAGAGGAAACGAAGAAAGAAGAAGAGAGCGAGTGAATGAATGAATGAATAAAGGAAGGAGGGAGGAAAGGAGGGAAGTAGGAAACGAAGAATGAAGAGAACGAGTGAATGAAGGAAGGAAGGAAGGAGGGAGGAAAGGAGGAAAAGCGGGAAACGAAGAATGAAGAGAACGAGTGAATGAAGGAAGGAAGGAAGGAGGGAGGAAAGGAGGGAAGGAGGAAACGAAAAAAAGAAGAGAACGAGTGAATGACGGAAGGAGGGAGGAAAGGAGGGAAGGAGGAAACGAAGAAAGAAGAGAACGAGTGAATGAAGGAAGGAAGGAGGGAAGTAGGAAACGAAAAAAAGAAGAGAACGAATGAATGACGGAAGGAGGGAGGAAAGGAGGGAAGGAGGAAACGAAGAAAGAAGAGAGCGAGTGAATGAAGGAAGGAAGGAGGGAGGGAAAGAGGGAAGAAAGTGTTTTCGCTGCAAAAGGTTCCTGTTTGATCTCCAAGTCGCAGGTAATGAATCTGGGTTTCATCTGCGCACAAGTTGTCGTCTGCAAAAGAATTTCTTTATACCTTTCGAGATATTTGCCTCGGTATTTTAAGATCCTCCGGTGTCGTTTTTCTTTTCAGTTTTGTTTTCTCTTTCTATGGATTTTTTTCTCTCTCTTTCAGTTTTTTCTGTTTGTTTTCTTGTTTTGTTTTTACTTGATTGTTGTTTTGTATATATATATTTTATTATTCTTTATCTTTATTCTGTGTTCGTTTGGTTTTCTTTTCTTTTCTTTCTGTCTTTCCTGTTTTCTTTTTTTCTTCTAATCTTTGTTCTATTTCCTTATTTTCCCTCTTAGTTTTATTTTCATGAACCTTTCCATTAAAAAAAACGAAAACAAAAAAAACATTTACACCCGTAGTTCATCCTTCAAGCAGTGAACAAACACAAATTCGTGTTCACTCACAACTCGTTCATATTTTTCTCTCTTTTCTCCTTTTGCTTTTTTCTTTTTATTTCGTACAGAAGCTTTGCCTAGAGATTGTGGCGATATAACGACAAACACCAAAAGATAAAACTGCTCGTTGTCCTACAGCTTAGAGATGGGAGGGGGGGGAGGGTGAATATTCAAACTTCTCTGCCTGGTGTCTTTTTTTCTTTCTTTTTCTTTCATTTCTTTCTATATTACATTCGTTTGATATCCTGCATCATTTTCAAAAATGCCTTACAAATGTACAAACACATACAGACGAACACACACGCGCGCACACACACACACACACACACACACACACACACACACACACACACACACATACATACACACACACACACACATTCCCTAATGCACATACACCCTCCCCCAACACACACACACCCTCCCCCCAACACACACACACACACTCCCCCCAACACACACACACACCCTCCCCCCAACACACACACACACCCTCACCCCAACACACACACACACACACACACCCTCCCCCCAACACACACACACACCCTCACCCCAACACACACACACACACCCTCCCCCCAACACACACACACACACACACCCTCCCCCCAACACCCACACACACAAACACACATAGACAACACAAACAACATAGACAACACCAACACAAACACCGCCAACATAGACAACACAAACGACGCCAACTTAGACAACACAAACAACATAGACAACACCAACACAAACACCGCCAACATAGACAACACAAACGACGCCAACTTAGACAACACAAACAACATAGACAACACAAACGACGCCAACTTAGACAACACAAACAACATAGACAACACCAACACAAACACCGCCAACATAGACAACATAAACGACGCCAACTTAGACAACACAAACAACATAGACAACACAAACGACGCCAACTTAGACAACACAAACAACATAGACAACACAAACGACGCCAACTTAGACAACACAAACAACATGGACAACAGCAACATAAACACCGCAAACATAGACAACACCA